ATTAAACTGTAATAGATCATCAGGACCAGATGGGATTCACCCAAGAGTTCTGAAGGGACTCAAATATGAAACTGTAGAACGACTAACTGTGGTACATAACATATAGCTTAAATCAGCCTCTGTCTCAGATGAGTGGAAGATAGCTAATGTGACACCCAGTTTTAAAAAATGCCTCCAGAGGTGATCTGGCAATTACAGGCTGGTAAGCTGAACTTTAGCACCAGTCAAATTGGTAGAAACTATATTAAAGAACATAATTATCATAAATGAACAAAATAGGTTAGCGAATAGTCAACATGCCTTTTGTACAGGGAAATCAAGCCTCACCCGTCTATTAGAATTCTTTGAGGGTGTCAACAAGCATGCGAGCAAGGGTGATCCAGCTGATCTAATGTACATGATAGAGTGTACCTGGACTTTCAGAAAGTCTTGAGTTTGCTCTTAAGCAAACTAAGCTGCCATGGGAGAGGACCTTCCCTCTCCTGGATCAGTAACAGGTTAAAAGACCGGAAACAAAGCGTAGGAAGTAATGGTCAGTTCTCAAAGTGGAGAGAGGTAAATAGCGGGGTGCCACAGAGATCTGTGCTGGGACCAGGGCTGTTCAACATATTCACAAATGATCTGGGAAAAGGGGTGAACGGTGAGGGGGCAGGGAGGTCTGCAGACAATATAAAATTACTCAAGATCATAGGTGCCCATCGGAAAAAAAAATTAGCATGTGCTTAGCAGCCACTGGTAGCCAAGCACCCCCCCCACCCTCCCATGGATCAACTCCTCCCCCTCCCTCTCAGCACCTTGGGCCCACCGCGATCAGCTGTTCTGCATCATGCAGGAGGTGCTGGGGGTAGGGTTGCCAACCCCTCCAGGATTGTCCCAGAGTCTCCAGGAATTAAAGATTATGTTACATGGATGTATTCCTGAAGGTTTCATCAATCAAAATTGGCAACCCTAGCTGGGGGCGGGGAGAGGAAGGAGCAGGGACAGGGTGCGCTCGGTGGAGGGGGTGGGAAGAGACAGCGTGGGCCTCGGAGGAAGGGGTGGAGTGGGGGCAGGCCTGAGGTGGAGGTGGGAGAGGTCGAGCACCCCCTGGGTAGAGAGGAAGTTGGTGCCTATGCTCAAGATAGTTAAGTCCAAAGCAGACTGCAAAGAGTTACAAAGGAATCTCACTGAACCGGGTAACTAGACAACAAAACAGCAGATGAAATTCAACGTTACATAAGAACGACCAGACTGGGTCAGAGCAAAGGTCCATCTAGCCAGGTGTCCTGTCTGCCGACAGTGGCCAATGCCAGGTGCCCCAGAGGGAATGAACAGAACAGGGACTCACCAAGTGATCCATCCCCTGTCGCCCATTCCCAGCTTCCAGCAAACAGTGGCTAGGGACACCATCCCTGCCCATCCTGGCTAATAGCCATTGATGGACCTCTCCTCCATGAATTTATCTAGTTCTTCTTTGAACCCTGTTATAGTCTTGTCCTTCACAGCATCCTCTGGCAAGAAGTTCCACAGGTTGCCTGTGCGTTGTGTGAAGAAATACTTCCTTTTGTTTGTTTTAAACCTGCTGCCTATTAAATATTGTTGATTCAATATTTAGCTAAACCAGTTTAACCACCAATGTAAATTCAAACCGGTATAACTTTCCCATGTAGACAAGGCCTTGGCCACACGTTGGCCCGCCTAGAAAGGGTCTACGGCGGGGGGGGTTAGCCCCAGAAAGAAGCCACAACGCAGATGTGTGGGGAAGAGAACACTTCCCTTGCAAATCTGTGCCTTGAATGGGCACTGGGCCATGCAGCTCACATCTAACTGTCTCTTGCCACAGCAGCTGATTCTCCCAGATACACAGCGATGTGCCGCACATACGGGATGGCAGGATCAAATTTTTTGAGTCTCTCCAAAGGCTGATGAAAAAAGACTTGGATCTCTGCTTACATTTCCCTTTACTGCTGATCTGCCTTAACAACTCTGCGGCACAGCCAGGGAAGCCGGTGGGATGAAACCCTTTTCCCGTCCTCTGTGTTATTGCCAGGAGGAGGGAGACTCCTTCGCTCACCAGTAACTGGTGATGAGCACTGTTAGTCTGCAGGGCTCCTGCGGTGTCATTCAGAAGCTCTTTTCTTCTTTTAGACAGAGACAGAGACATTTTTATGTCATTAACAACCCAGCGCAGCTCATTCCCCACCTCAGCCGCTGCTGCACTAATGTTTTCTTCATTCACACTGTGGCAACTTCCAGCCTAGGATTAGCCACGTGAACAGATTCTCGTGAACGGATGCAGGGACCGCACCCAGAGAGGTATGTTAGGGCTACACGTTCCCATTGCCGGGGACCCCCCCAGGGAGACCTGCACTAGGGTCCCTTTGCAGTTCCCTCTCTGTGTCACATTCAGAGGCGAGGCATTAGCACCGTAAGGGAGCGGGCAGGGGGCGAGACACAGGAGCGGCTGTGAAGATAGGGTGTGGGGCTGAGGCAGAAGGCCAGAAATCAGGGCTCTGCATTCAAGTCCTCGGTCTGCCATAGCCTCTGACCTTGGGCTCCTCTCCTCAGGACCATTGAGGCAGCTGAGTTTCATTGAGCTCACTGGGAGCTAGGTACCCAACTGCCTTGGAGAACCTGGGCCATAACCTCTCTGTCTCAGTGCTGTGATACTTCGCCCTCTCACAGGGGGGCCGGGAGGTCACCTTCGCTCTCGACTTGGAGGTGCTCGGTTGCGATAGCACTGGGGGGCCCAATGACGGGGTTGATCCAGGGCGCGGTGGGTCGAGGTTAGCCCGTTCATGCTCTCCCCTTGCCGTCAGCAGGGCTCAGGGACCCTCCCCCGTGGCAGGTGCTCTCTTAAGCAGCTACCGGAGCTGGCTTGACATGAAGCGTTCAGCTCTCACCAGCAGCTGCCAATTCTGCATAGCCAGCCGCGCTAAGGCAGCGTTCTTCTGGCTGAGAGCCAGCCGCCTGGGGGCTCCATGACGCCGCAGCCCTGGCACGGGCCTCGCACTGCGTCTCTGCGAGTGGGATCATGCACAGATCTACTCTCCCCCCCACGTCTGCATGTGCCATCGTCTCAGCCTGGGCTCAAGGCGGGTCAAGGCCTTATCGCAGCCCCAGTGCCCACTGAGCACCAAGACAATAGACCCCCGCGGTGTAGAGAGACGGGGCCCCCACAGGAACCTGCCCTGCTTGTTTGGGCCAGGGGGACAATTGCTGTGTGTTTGCCATATTAGGGGCCTCAACCGAGACCAGGGCCCCGTTGTGCCAGGTGCAGACAACACGCGTTCTTCCCCGCCTCTCTCAGACACGCAGACTCCCTGCCGCTCTTCTCTCCTCAGATGGGCACCTCCGCCGAGCATTTCCCCTGGAGCTACTCTGTCCCAGCTGGGGTGACCCAAACTCTACCCAGGATCCAAGGGGAGGATGTCCCATGGACCGGGGCTGCTCGAAGCACTTGTGCTGATGCAGCAATCAGCCCAGCTCCACCCCTCCAGCAGAACTGCCTCTGTGGTAGAACAGTAGCAGCTGGAGCCCCCAACTGAGACGGGGGCTGGGTTGTGCCCGGCGCTGTCGTGCGCCTGGCGTGCGACGCGCTGTGCTCCAGAGGCCGTGCAATCTAACCAGGGCACAGAACGCTTCAAGGTCACATTGAAGGTCGAGGCAGACGTGGGAACAGGACGCAGGTCTCCTGAGCCCAGTGCCCAAGCCACCAGCCAATGCTGCTCCCTACAGTGACGGAAGGGGAAAGAGGGCGTCTCTCCTACCTCCTTGGAAAGCAAAGAGGGAAAGCGTGAGGCTACTCCCCCGCCCCAGGTTTTGCAGAGAGCTTTTCAGAACCACACGGCCCCCTTTGTGCACAGTGACACAGGCCAGACCTGACCGAACAGCCATTAGACTTCTCAGGAAGAGCCCCCCGGATCACAGCAGGCCCCGTTTGGACTGGGCTCCTTTTGAATATTTTGTTGTTAAAAACCACAGAATCCTGTGAAAGAGGGAGAAGCCCATTCAGTGCACACACAGGCCCTCCACTGATCCCCCCGGCACGTCGGTTCCAGGGGCGGTCTGCAGCTTGCTCCAGCCAGAAATTCCAGGTGGCCTCAGAAGGCCTGGCTGGTTTGAGTTCACCGAAAGGGAGGGGCTCTCGGTGCAGGATTTAGGGCCAGATGTGTCAACAACAGGATCATGCAATTAAACACCCATGATAATTATCTACATCGAACCCTACATGGAGGAGCTGGCTTTGAAGGGGACAGCTGGGCAATTTGTTGTCCTAAAATCCCAGTCCCCAGAGCTGACTGGCAAACGCCGCAGGACAGGGTTCTTACAGCAAACTCCTCTGGCATACCTTGTTAAGACCATGTCTCTCGCGTGGAGTTGGTAGCCAAGACAGCCTGACGGCTACTAAACCGGACATGAAGAATTCCCCTTTCCCTGCTCTATCGGTACAGAAACCGCAAAGAAAAAAAACATTTCTGCCTTTTGTTGCATGTCCATGAGCCAATCAAAGGGTAATGCTAGCCCTAGGGAAACCAGAAGCTTGCAAACTCTTCCCATCTGGGCCTTTTTGAATGGAGAAACCCCCTGGCCAGGGAACAACATAAAGAAATACTTAGCCTCTTAGGTTTTATTTGGACCATGTGAGGCTACAGTTCAGGGCTGATAACACAGTAACGTCTTACATGGACACACTTCTTAGGGCAGCTAGTGGTAGCCAGATCCAGGCAAGACGATCCAGGCCGCAGCCCAGCAAAGCACGTGCACTGTAGGGAGCCTCACAGGCTTCCAGTGGAAGTGGACGGGTGAAATTCTGGCCCCACTGAACTCAATGTGAATTTTGCCAGGGGCTTCAATGGGGCTGGAGGTTTCACCTGAGAAGTTACAGTCATGTGTGTGCTCAAGTGCCTTGCAGGATCGGGGCCGCACCAGTGCTCGAAATGAGCATCATGCCCCTCCCATATCATTCAAAATAACACCCCCCAGCATCCCTCTCCAACAGGCAACATGCAATATCTGACCTCCAGCTCCTGGAAATCCTCATCTTCCTCCACGTCATAGGAGAGGGTGTGGATCTTGATGTCGTCGCCGGAGAGGTCGATGAACTTGCTGTCGGGGTACTCCAGGCTGTCCTTGGTGGGGGAGCGGTCCTCGATGAAGGTCGTCTCACAGCACTCGGCGCTCACGCTCTCCCCCCAGGAGCGCAGCACGTTCTCCGAGTAGAGGATGAGGTTGGGGTGGTAGTAGGACTCCACCGTCTCTTGGAGCGTATTGGGGTCCAGCAGCTGCTGCACCGGGTCGTTCCTGCTTTGAGCAGCGAGATTGCCCACAATGTGGCTCTGGTACTGTGGGGCTGGGTACACGGAGACCAGGCCATCTCTGTTCTCCGCCATTAAGTTCCTGGTGTTAATTAAGCCATTCTTTTTCCCAGCTTCAGCGATTTTCCCGTGCATTAGCACACTGGTCTGTTCTAGGAGCCCATCCATGCTGGTTTTTTCCTTCCTCCCACAGGGGTCTTAGCTGGTCACTCAGAAACACTGCTCACACTGCAGTAACGGCTCCCATTTTCCTGAGGGGGGGTGTGAAATAAATACTAACATGAAAATTAAACATCAGACCTCCCAAATCTGCATCCGACCCCTGATAGCAGGTATAACGACGGAAGCAATAAGAAAAGAAGTACTTGTGGCACCTTAGAGACTAACAAACGTAGGCCCCGATCCTGCCAGCCGCTCCACGCAGGGAGATCGCCCGGCCCACCGGAGCCCCGAGTGGGGACTTCCCTGGCCTTTTCTAACCCAGTCCTTTTAAAGCAAGACCTTAACGCAGGGGTTCTCAACTGTGGGGCGGGACCCCAAAGTGGGTCGTGACCCCGTTTTAATGGGGTCACCAAGGCTGGTTTAGACTTGCTGGGGCCCATGGCCGAAGCCCGAGTCCCACTGCCCAGGGCCGAAGCCAAAGCCTGAGGGCTTCAGCCCTGGGCGGTGAGGCTCAGGTTACAGGCCCCCTGCCTGGGGCTGAAGCCCTTGAGCTTCGGCTTTGACCCCCTCCTCCCCCCCGCCCCCTGGCCAGGGGTGGTAGTAACTTTTGTTGTCAGAAGGGGGTCGCGGTGCCATGAAGTCTGAGAACCCCTGTAGTTTAACGCATGGAACAAGAGGGAATGCCCAAGCGACGTGCCAAGCCGGCCTGGGGTTTATGTTTTCGGACTGGGCTGTGCCATGCCAAAAGGAGGATTTCAGCTAAGCATTAACCCTCAGGAGAAACTCCACACTCATGGCACAAAACCCCATGAGCATCCACCACACCTTCCCCTGGCAAATTAACAAAGAATGTGAAGAAAACACAAATCTTGGAATCTGGCCTGTACTGTTAGCACAGAGAGTGTCAAAGACTCATCCCTCCCCCCCAAGTTTCAACCAGGATCAGGGCCAGTGAGAGACACTTTGCTAGGAGGGATCCCGTGCTCCCCATGGCCCGGTAAGCTGCCCGGAGCTTCAGAGGAGTTCAAAGCTCCCTGTGGGTCACCACCTACCAATGACACCACTGGGTGGATCATCCTAGCGGACCGAACCCTCAACCTAAAAGCAACAGCAGCTACCACTTGGCTTGAGCCAAAGCACCAGGCCCATTAGCTCGCAGCCAGTAGCAGGCTTGTAAACCTCGCAGCCAGTAGCAGGCTTGTAAACTGAACCGCCATTAGAGGGACAGAGCCATGACACAGGGTTTCTTGTGCCTCTCGCTGAAACCTCTGGTGCTGACGGCCATCGGAGACAGGATAAGGGACCAGATGGACCAGTGTTGCAATTCCTGTGTGCCAGGCATGACATGTATGGCATACAGGTCGATTCAGGTCCTCCCACGTTGCTGACAGAGCCAAGACATCAGGTTCCAAGAGAAACAGCAGGGAACGTGGTGGCGTGACAGGGAGGGATGTGAAAGGCAGGGCCGGCACCCACTGCCTGGCTGGGGTCCATCACCCAGAATGTTTCACGCAGCGGTTGCATGGCAAATGCTTTTCACTTCACTCGCATGCAGCCCACACAATGCCTGCACCTCACTCCCACTGGATGGAGAATTTCCTATCCTGGTGTGCACTCGGCACATTCCAAAACACAAATCCACAAGCAGGGTGAAGTGAAAGCATCCATTGTGCTTACCCAGACCTGACAGCAAATGGATTCTTGTAGAGCTCTCAGGGTTCCTGGAAGGGGCTCATTATCTGTTGAAATTTCAGGCTTTTGGTCTGAGGAAAAGGGAAATGTGTGTGTTTGGGGGACAGTTTCCCTTCAAACTGACTGAATACCACCTGAGCGCAAGGGATTACATCTATCCCAAGGAGCTAATGGGACTCAGTTCCTCCAGGGATCACTGCAAATCTATAGCGCGGGTTTGTGTGTTAATATTTCCAGCGGGACCTCCACACTAGCAGTTATTTTTTCACCCATCTCCAAACAATTCCTCATCTAAGGAGGCTGCTGTTTATAGATGGAATGTGGGTTTGGGGAGTTGTTTCAATCAGAACTGGCTTTCACTTCACAAAGGGTATGTCTACACCGCCATTACACATCTGCAGCTGGCCTGTGCCAGCTGGCTTGGGTCACGGGGCAGTTTAATCGCAATGTCGACACTCCGGCTGCAGGCCAAGCTCTGGGACCCTGGCCACCTCGCAGGGTCCCAGAGCCCGGGCTCCAGCCTGAGCCCACGTTACTCCAGCCTGAGCCCGTGTTACTCCAGAATTCGATAGAAGTGCAGTCAGCAATTCTGTATGTTCAGGCACTGCCAGCCCAAACCAAACCGCACAGAGCTAGGGAACCCTTCGGCCCTAAGAGGCAAAGCCGTACAGCTGCATGTTAGCAGCTTTGCGATCAAAATAAAAAAATTGAAACAAAAAATTATATAAAAAAGTAAACATAGAGCAACCTTGGTTTTAAGTGCCCCTAACATATTATTGTTATAACTACAAATACTAAAAATTCTTTAAAACAACAGTTCATTAAAATTTAAAAAATTGGTAACCCACTAAAATCACTAAATCCGATAAAGTGAGCTGTAGCTCATGAAAGCTTATGCTCAAATAAATTGGTTAGTCTCTAAGGTGCCACAAGTCCTCCTGTTCTTTTTGCGAATACAGACTAACATGGCTGTTACTCTGAAAACTAAAGGTTATGTGCTTTGTTTAAAGTTAGCCATAAAAATTAAATAAAACATATGCTTTAAAGCAGTTTGGGGAGCTTTTCTTTAAGCAAAGAGCTGACATCTAAGCTCCCCATCAGTGGGCAAAAAAAGGGCCCTAAAAACCCGGCTGGTGATCACTCAAAGCCATCTCAAACTGTAAATAACTATACCTAAAAATGTCCTAAACCTATCGCGTATGTGTGCTTAAAATCTAATGAATAGCAGTTTTCAATAAAAGCACACTTGCTTGTATCAATCATTTATCAGACGGATGAGCTGTGCCCGCCATTAATTTATTCCCCACACCACCTTTAAAAAAAATAAAAAATAAAAAACAGTTAAATTACCACTGCTTTGGATTCTAAAAAACCCTGGGTAACACCAGGGCATCTATGGCACAATTGAAGAGCCCTGCAGCCCAAGCCAGCCGGCACAGGCCAGCCGCGGTGTCTAATGGCAGTTAGTGTCAGCGTCATCAATGCGGCACGGGCCAGCCAGTGGTGAGAACACAGGACCTACAGACCTGAAAGCAAACACGCCTGCTGCTGGAGCTAAAGGACGAATGCCCTTTCATGGGCACAGTCATAGCCTGGTCAACCTCTTACGCAACTCAGCCTCTAGAAGAGACCTAATCCATCCCGTCTAGCTAGTGGGGTTACATCAAGGCACTAGAAATCAACAGGGTGGCTCATCAGGCTAAGAACACTTGTTTCTGGCCCAAACCCCTCCTTCTAGGGAGCCTGTTTGCTTCCAATGCAGCCTGTGTAAATTGCTACTTGAAGTTCACAGGTATCCAGTAAATCAACAGGAGCCCAGATGATCTCTCCGCCGCAGTCTGATCCAAAGCCCGGAAAAATGTATTAACTTCAGTGGGCTTTAGAGCAGCCTCTCCAAGACAACCCACCCTACTGGGAGGATTTCACTCCTGTGGATTGCCTAGAGACAAAGCTGAATTCAATATCTTTCTAATTAGAGTGTCTTTGCCCTCTCTCTCCATCCCACGTGAACAAGGGGAGTGGGGAAATCCTGTCATGGAGTGACCATGACAAGCAAAATCCCAGTCTTTCGTGCTGGTTTCCTCTAAACAATTCTAGATTTCAGATATTTGCTGTCCCCCTGCCTACTTGCTGGAGATATTTAAAACACTTGTAACAGCTGCTCTACGGTTCTTTCCACTGGGGATGGTGCAGGAAATTTGTTTACAGTACAAGAAAGCTAATGTAAATAGGTTCCAGTTGCTGCCCGCTGCTTGGTTTCACGGCACGGAGACCCTCTTGGTTTAACATGTCAAGAATACACTTTATTCCCTTGGCTAACAGTTCTGAACTTGCACTCACAGAACTTGCATGAGGGCAGGGTGGGTAGAATTCCACCCTGGTGGATGCCCATGGAGTTGCAGCAGGAATGAATTTGGCCCTAAACCTGTAGAACCTAGTGAGAATATTTAAGCTAGTTTCCAGATTAATTTAGCTCGGGATTTGAGGGTCAGTTTCACCGAAGGATTATTTAAAACCCTTTTCAGTACAACTAACATGAGACAATATTAGAGGAGTCAGAAAAGGGGCCTCGTCTTTATGATTAAAACTTGTTTAAATGAGTGATGCTCATCATCCTGCAAAACAATCAGCCAATTTTCTCCTCTAGCTCATGCCAGTGCAAAGCAGGAGTCCCTCCACCGATGCCATTGCAGTTACACCAGGGTAAAAGTGGCATGAGTGAAAGGAGAATCGCTTCCTCAGCTTGTAAGTAAAGCTGGCGATTTGAGAGCAGCAATTATGGCAACCTTCATGGAACTTGCAGGGCAGAGCACAGGTTGCAGAAGGGAAGAGTTTGAGGAAAGCACCAGGAAGTCAGTCTGTGTGCACATGGCTGGAGCGCTGGCTGAAGCATCTCTGTAAATAGTTATTTTAATAAAGAGCCAGTTTAGTTTTACAGGCATGAAGTCATCTTATGTTCTCACCCAGAATGCTGTACATGAAACAGTGATGGCGAATGGCACATTGGAGACCCACCTTTGAGTCCGTTCTCACTGAGCTTCTGGACAACAAATGTGTTGTTAAGAGATCATTATCAGTTTGAGACAGCCCTAAAATTCAACCTCTCTTCAGTATTTGATATTCTGCTGGGCCTCTGAATTTCAAGCTACCCCTTTGCTGTGGGGAAATGAAAGGAAAAACGCCGACTATTGGTAACACACAAAGCCTCAATATTTCTGTTCAGCTGCTTTGTAAAACTGCCCCTTCCCTCCCCTGAGGCTGTGGGACCTCCCTTAAAAGGCATGGGGACAGCCATCAGCTGGGGAAACACTTACTGGATATCTGCCAGGGAGCAGCGAGGTAGGTAGCAACAGGGTCCCAGAGCTGGCACAGAACTCCTGTCCTGGTGGCCCTGGTC